TTGAATTATTTAGTTGAATAACAGCGTCGTTTCGTCTTTCGTCTTTTATATGCAACCGTCTTGTTTCACATCTTCTTTTCAACTCCTCCCTCATCGTTCGACTTCATCTATTGTTCATGCATGTGGTGAATTTGGTGGGCTGTTGGCACTACGTTGCTAGACCCATTCCCACATATATCGCAGACAATATAACCTAGGGACACCAAATTTTAGTCCAAGATGCCTTATGTGAATACGAAGAAAATACGTATTCTTGGAATTTCGAATTCAAATTTTGCAAATACCCCTTGTTAGTGATTATGTGTGAAAGACCGATTTAACAAGAATACAAAGAAAATGCGTATTTTGTAATTTCCCTCCCTCTCCCCTCTCCACCACAAATCGCAAGTTTCTCTAACTCCCGTAATTCTTGGAATTTCAAAATCAAATTTTGCAAATACCCCCTGTTTGTGATTATGTGTGATATACCGATTTAAGAAGCCATAAATATATTTGCTGCCCAAGCGCTGCCCCGCAGCTGTTGTTGATGCTGGTGCTTTGGTTGACTGCAAACATGTTCACACAGACACGAATAGACGCGCATTGCTATATAAATGTGCAATTATACACACTTTACGTGAGTTCGAATACCGAAAGAGGTAAAATCAATCCAAATTTTTTTTTTTTCTCCTAATTTTTGTAATTTCTATAATTATTCTAAACATATGTACAGAGTATTTTAAAGTCGTGACACCCGACTTTAGCTTTTTTACTTGTTTTTAAATGAAAGAATTGGCCACACGTGAAAATATTGAAATAACTCAATATGTTATAGATGGTATTAACGATCAAGGACAAAAAGTCCATTCTGTACAAATAAATATTAAAAAGCTTAAAGAAAAATTAAAGAACTACGAAGTTATTCGCGGAAAATCTAAGAACGAGAACAGAAGCCTACCTGTATTTAACAAAAATACCCTTAAAAGTGAAAACAAAAGAATATCCGAATAAAAATGAAAAATCTGAAGCAAGCAACGCATCACACACTTTCTGAGCTGGAGCTTCTTCTTCCATACGTACGATATGACCTAGTACAGCTCATTGTTCCACCTGATACGGTATGTATCGTATTAGCAAGGAGTATAAGCCCTGCATGGCCAGCATGGTAATTTGAGACATGCATATAAGATAAGTATAATCTTATGAATTGCGACTTTTCGAAAGCAACAACGGAAACTTGGCTTCGTATGGGATAGAAGCATTCAATAATGTTCCGTTCACTCTCAGCAAGAAAAATAAGAAACCGTCTGCTTTAAATTCATGTCTCAGACGCTGTAAATTAACGTTAAGTGTTCTCTTTTTTCGAACCTTGTCGATTTCGTCACCGAACTCATTGTCCTGGATGACTTGAACAATTTTGTTGAATACCAAATTGAGTTCGCTTGGCTTGGCTATAGGATCAAAGGGCTTCGAGACCTTTCTGCACCTTTGTATAAATCGAAAAACCCAAACGAAGACCCTCAGCAACTTTGAATGTGACGAGTAGCTTTCGATAACTTCGAGAGTAAAACTACAGCAGACTTACGAGCTTCTGGGGCAGCTGAATTTTTAGGCGGCTCGAAGTGAGCATTCACAGGCTATTTTTCTTCCGATTCCATGAGGAAGGCTGGCCCTGTAAACCAAATGGAGCTACGCAACTCGTCTACATTACATCCTCTGGACACGATGTCTGCTGGGTTGGATTTCGTTGGGACATGTCGCCACGTTGCATTCTCGGACCACTCTTGGATTTGAGAAACCCTGTTTGAAACGAAAACTGACCATGCCGACGGATGCGACTTGATCCAGTGGAGCGTTATTTCCGAGTCAGTCCACATAACTATCTTGTCTATTGGAAAATTAAGCAACGGGCGGACTTGACGAAAAAGATCTGCGAGAAGGTGAGCTGCACACAGCTCAAGACGAGGCAAAGTTTTCGTCTTGAGTGGAGCTACTTTGGATTTTGAGGTCAAAAGTGACACTTTCCAACCATTCGCAGTCGAAACACGAACATAAATACAGGCGCCATAAGCTCGCATTGAGGCATCGGCGAACGCATGTATTTGAATGGGTGACTGCGTATCTGTATGGACGAATCTAGGGACTTGAATACCGCTGAGGTTCAACAAATTTTACTTAAAAAGGTTCCAAACTGTATGAAGATGCTCAGGAATGGATTCGACCCAATCTAGCTTCTGTAGCCACAAATCTTGCAGCAACATTTTAGATTTTGTGATCAGCGGGCAAAGGCGACAATTCTGTTCGAAGTTTTTTTTAGCTGTTCAACGCTTTCAGCATCAGTTAACATATCGTCGACATAAAAGTCGCTCCGAATTTTTTTTATGTCTGCCGCTAAGGCGAACTTTTGCAAACAAAAACGAAGCAGCGTAGAATAAAGCTCCTCCTGAATTGTTGGACCGAACATTAAGTTGTCATTCAACGCAATCCGAGTGGACGTGCGGCAAGAGGCATCGAAAACGACACATAACTTGGTCGACGTGCTTTGAAGCCGCAGGACACTCTAATGCGGGATAAAATAGTGTGGAGTATCTGTTGTCACTTGAGGACATGTGATCGAGCGAAACATACTCGTCCATAAATTCCAGATACATGCTTTTCAGTTGAGGGTCTTTCGACAACCTCCTTTCCAGCGACAAAAAACGACGTTTCGCAACTACGAACCAAGACTTTTTGGATCAGATCGACCTGAAATCGACAAGGCGACCAGATTTTTTATTCTCGACAAAGTGTTGTTCACAAAGCTGTTGCTCAGGTGAGAGAACTTTCGAACTATTCGGCAAGTCCTCAATGGACCAAAACTTTTGTAACGTTGAGTCTATTGAAAGTAATTGTTCTTCTTGGCAGCTAAAATTTACTACTTCTTTTATATGGAATTGAGGATCGGCCAATTGAATATTTTTGGGGACCCTGCTTGTGTTCACCGCTTGATCGGAGTGAAATCGATCCCAAGATCCAAAAATCTGCGGAAAACTCGCTACAATTGACGTCCGACGGTGCGACGGTGCTGTCAAACTTAATGTGTGCGACGACGAAAGATCGGCAGAGCTCTTCAAGCAAGCGATAAGTGGGGTAGGGGAGGTCCTCGCCGTGTAGGATGCGAAAGATATACCATCCCGCCCGAGGGCCAGAGCTTGGGTACCGGCAAAGCCCACGGAAACAGCAAAAATAATAGAGGTCATACAGCTGTTTAACCCAAAAGTCAACTATCAGGGCTGGAGGGTGATCAAAACTAAGGCGACTAAACGAGCAGCCATGCAAGTCGTCCATATGCTCAATAACAAGTGTATTGAGCGGCTTAACACAACTGAAGCCCGAATCAACTACGGGCTCGACAAGATAAAGTTGAATATTTACAAGGCGGATACGGAAGCGACTGCCAATCTAGCCGATATTCTGAACGCTATAGAGCCATCCAGTGAAGACGATGGTATCAGTACATCCTTTAAAGCCAGAACAGGGGGGGTACCTAGGCATATTATAGATAAAATCGTCACAGAACAAAGCATATGCTGAGCTATCAAATAATTCCAGCCATACAAATCTCCAGGCCCAGACGGCATCGTCCCGGCCCAACTCCAACAGTCCCTGCTGTGCATCATGCCCTGGCTTTTGGCAATGCTCAGAACCTGCCTAGAAGTCAACCACACGTCAAACCAAAAGATTTCAGACCCATCAGTCTATCATCATTCCTATTGAAAACTCTAGAGAGACTAGTAGAAGTATACCTCAGGCAGGTCCATCCCCTTGTGGTCTGGGAGTAAGTCCCATGACAAGAAAGTACAAGATTCTGAAGCTGGAGGCACCCACTTTAAAGGGGGCTCCACTAAAATTCTACTAGAAGTATCTGGGAGTGCAGAGATCAGCGGAAGTGTGCATCAGCGGGACGCTCCGAGCTACACAAACAGAGGCCCTTAATATATTTCTTCATCTTCTCCCATTGGACATCGTAGGGAGAGAAATAGCCACGAACTCGGCCCTAAGGCTAAGAAACCTCTGCCTGAAAGAACTCAATGAGAAGACATGCTAGCATACTCCGCCTTTACCCCATGGTTCCCACCCACATGGACTACTGCACACCCAAACTTATTTGAGAAAAGAAATACGTAGTCAGGATTCCCACTCGAACAGATTGGGAAACTCTCCTACACCGGAGAGACGATGCCATCAATTTTTCCACGGGTGGCTCTAAACTGGATCAGAGAGTCGGTGGAGGTGTCTACTCTCCGGACTTGGAGATGCGACTGTCCTTCCGCCTCCTAGGTCATTGCAGCGCAGGCAGGTAACAAGGCACCTATCACCCAATATGGCAGGCGGCAGACCGATATTTATAGACTCAGATAGCCAAGCGGCCCTTAAAGCGTTGAAATCCAATGTGGATCACTCTCACATGGGTACCAGTACACCAAGACATTGAGGGAAACTGCATCGCAGACGAACTGGCAAGGAAGGGAAGTACTGCATGTATCCCTCCAGACACGGAAGGAACGAGCATGCCACTAGCTTCCTTCAGGCTGTTGACATGCAACCATGCGCGGTCTTTGGCGCAGCCACGCTGAAAAAACACAAGCAAATATGTTAGAGCAAAGCCCACCTGGCCAACCTAACCATTTCTTATAGTCTCTGAGATCCAGGTGTTCATACGGACAGACAGACAGACGGACAGAAAGTCATACAGACGGACACACGGACAGACAGACAGGTCTAGATCGACTCGTCTTGTCACGCTGATCAAGAATATATATACTTTGCAGAGTCTGCCACGCCTCCTTCTGCCTGTTACATTTTTCAGCTCTTGCAGACCTAATATACTATTGTACATTTCATATACAGAGCATAATTTCCCCTTCCTGCTATCCATTTTTCCGATTATTTAAACAACAAATACATACGTTTTTTAAACTAGACTTTATTTTTTTATATAGATTTACTTTTATATTGTAAATAAACATATTATTGCGATAAGTTATGTAATAACTACTAATAAACTGAATAAAGGGCTCATAAAAGCGATTTCAATAACATTTTGAAGTGAGCAAACAACGTTACTGATATCACTTTTATATGTATCTTGTTGGCTTAGTTCCATTTATGCATAATATTTATATACAAATTAAATGTAAATTAAAGCATTATAACTTATGTAAAATAATCGATCTATTAACATTTGCCAGAGCAGTTTTATAAAGATGATTAATTATAATCAGCACATAAACTAATAGTTATCCACAACATTTAATCTGCTTACGCGCTGCTTACAATTAACTACCTAATAAAAACAATTTGTATATAGTAATAATACTTTTTATGCAGATAATACTTTGTTAAATTGGGCAACAATACATTATTTATTAATAATTGTTTATGAGTCTACAAATATGTATTAAGATACATAAATTGTAAAAATATAATGATACAGAAGTACTAGTATTCCTGGTATCACAATAGCAACTTAAAAATTGATCTTACAACATTTGGAGCACTAAATGGTTGCATGAAAAAATCTTGTTTAAATGTATGATTCGAAATGTAAAATGAATAGATATATATACATTTAAATTGCTCATGATTCCTTTATTTTAATAGCTGGTGCGCTCTTTGATTTGCTACAGCTATCCTTGCCTCATTGGACTCGCCCTGTAATCAGAAAATACAAATTTGTATGCATTAGATGTATTGCTTTTCCATATAAAAACTAATTATATACGAGTATATATTGTAGTAGATTCAAGTTTTTGTCACTATTTTGTTAAGTATAATTATATAATTACTTACAACTATATTATATTATTATCTCTCCTTTTACGAGTACAACAATACATTATTAGATATATTCTGTTTATATATTTATAGAAGTTATCAAATCCTTATTGGCAACAGTTATTTTATTTCTCTTGTTTAAGTAGTCAAAATGAATGTTGTTTGTGTAGTGTTATTTTTGAAGAAATTTAAATTTGTTTCTGAAATTATCATTGCCCACGGTCATTAAGTTAGTGTTTCCCATTTTATTTCATTGTGAGCTACTTATTAACAATGACAAAAGAGTAAAAACTAAAAATATTGGCAAAAAGAAATTACAATGATTGGTCAAATCAATAAATACCTTTCGATTAATCCTGTCAATTTGGCGGTTTTGATTTTCAAGCTCTGAGCCCATATCTAAGGCCATATTGCGCAGATTGCCAATCATAGTATTAACTTGGCCCATATTTTCCTCCATTTCATCCTCTCGAGCGTCATTTGTAATTCTGAAAAAAGCATGTTAATTAAAGGTATATGCATGAAAAATTGGAATAAATTGTATCAAAACTTGTGGACTAGGACATTGCACCGATGCGCCATGACGCATCTTATTGCTTGAGTACCAATACATAAAGTAAACGAGTTGAGAGTTGCCCATACGGGCGGACTAAGAATATATATACATGCAGTTTGTAGTGTCGGAGATGTTGCCTTCTGCCTGTTTGCACAAACCTAATATACACTTTTTGCCGTTCGGGTACAGGTTATAAAAAGGAATTTCTGACCCGATGGGGGAAGTCTTATAAACCAGTCCGGCAAGCTATGTCCCGTCTCACAGCCGTGTGAGATGACAAAAGCCAGAGGCTTTTAGGAATGAAATAGATAGTTTGGTACATAAGTATAGAGTAAAGGGAAATTAATTTCTCGTGGTTTTGCAGAGAACATAAGAATTAAGACGACCTAAAAGGAATGTAGAATCGAAACTACCGCCAATCAATTTGTGGAGAAATACAGGAATCAAGGACAGTCCTTCGATCAACCAGCGAAGGAAGATTAACAAGTTAAGTTAAGTTTGCTTTAAGCCACTAAAAGCAAAAAAAAGTAAAAAGCTAAAGTCGGGTGTCCCGACTTTGAAATACTCTGTACATATGTTTAGAAAAATTATAGAAGAGATACAGGTGTTCATACGGACAGACGGATGGACAGACTGTTTAATGAACGCAAGGATCTCAGAAAGTATAAGAGCTAGAATAACCAAATTTGGTATCTAGATTCTCCTAATTCCGAAAAAGGACGAGTTTGTGATTTTTTTTCTGACGCACCCCCCCACTCCCCCGCTATTCATGATTTTTTCTATAACTCCCGCTATTCTTGGAATTTTGGACTCAAATTTGGTAATTACATCTCGTTAGTGATTATGTGTCCGCATGCCAAGTGATAGGTCAATTATAAAGAAAGTTATAGACATAAATAAAATCTCTGCCCAAGCTCTGGCCGCAGCTGTTGTTGTTTGCTTTGCTTCAATTCTACTGCACGCATACACACACATGTATGTAAATAAATTTTCTCTGTAACTATGCATAGGTCGACATAGACGCTGCGTTGTTTTAAATGTATGTACATACATATATAGGGTGCCTTTTACACATATATGTATACTTATGTGTGTATTTATGTCGTTTTTTACATACATATATATGTTTTATTAATTTTATTATTAAATAACTTTATTTAAAAGTAATTAATCAAAGAAATGGAAAATGTGTGTTTATATTTATTCCCTGTAACCTGTCTAATGAATGCAACTTTGGCTTGCCTTTGCAATACACTTGCAAATCTAAAACGAGTTAACAAAAAGGGAATTTGTACGGACGATACGTCGCGCTTTTATTGTTTCCAGCTTTAGACTAAATAATACAATTTTAAATTATAATAAGCTAAGCTTGCAGCGTCGCCGTCGCTACTGCAAAATCGCTGCCGCTGCTGCAGAGTCGCCGTCGCCGCTCCCACGAAAGTGCAGCTTTAGCACCTTATGTGCGGATGTCCGTCGCTGCCAGCAGTGCAGTTGTGACACATTTGGCGCAACCAAAACGTTGGGTCAGCAATTTCCAATAGTCAGTGGTTAACTACTCCTCCTCTCGAAGACCGACCGCCTTTAAACGCTTTTAAATTTTTCAACATCTTCGAGATCTTCAGCGAGTTTCGACGTTTGTTTATCAGCATATGGAGCCAGTAGATTCCAGCTCCCGTAGCGCAAGCCAACAGCATTATGCCGAGGGAAATCGCCAATGTATTTCCGACTGCAACCTGTCTCTAACCTCTTTGATGTAGTTGAGGGTATTCTCGCCTAGTCGATGAATGTAGGGAAGGCTGAGTATCGTTTCGTGGCTGCTGATGTTAAGTAATGGTGCTGCCGCTACTACCGGGAACCGATTTTGCACGCTCTTGCGATTGAAGTATCGTATGCCATTTACGGTTGTGTGGGACGAAAAGGTGACGAGGTTTGTTCCATCCACCTTCACCGCGGCGCAGTCGTCGTAGGTGATTACCGCGCTACGATCGTTTATGATGATAATGCCGTCGTCCACTACAGTGACAGGGTCAAGGTGACTCGGCTGTGTTTGGCAATGGGCCGTACCTCCTTCATGGAGGTGGTCGCTGTTTGTGAGCAGTTCGCCAAGGCCAGCATCCGTCCGTTGTCATGGATATGATTCAAAGCATAATAAACGTAATCCGAAAATGTTAAAATTACTATTACTAAAAGAGTAATGCAAAAAATGAAAAGTGAGCTCATATATACACCTCATAATACACCTGCTTAGCCGAAGGGAAAATATTCATTAAGACCAGCAGAGGTGGTCTCGTGTCTTCTATCGTTCGAGACGCGATAGGCTGGACCACCGCAAACTTCGAGAATTTGTCAACGCAGGTAAGAAAAAAATTGGAGAAGATGTCAATGTGTAACATCTCTCCTGTTCCTGTTTTTTCGGGTGTCTGTTGTACTTAGCTTTTGTGCAAATTCTACAATTTAATACTACCTCATTGGCCAATTTCGTCATTTTAGGAAAATAGTATTCCATCATGACCTGCTTCACATTCTCTTGCGCCGCCCTATGGGCTCGATTGTGTTCCTTAGTAATGATTTCTCTTCTATCACTGATATTGAACACGTCCGCCACGAAATGTAACCAAAACTTCGTAGTTGGGAAGGCCCTTACCAGCTCATGCTGAAAACTAGCCAAGATTGGGAGAATACAGTGAAACGCATTAACCACGTTTGGGTTAATGATGGCCTTTATTGTTTCGGAAAAGTTTATCATATGGCGAGTTTTATCGCCGAACAGTATGAAATTCCTCTTCAGAGGAAAGCGTGCCTCCTCTAACACAACCTGATTTTAGAAGCAGTTCAAAGGCTTCTCAGTTGACTAAATTGTATAAGTCAAGGACAATGCACTGTGAATCGTAGCCGCGTCCGATTCGTGCACGTCTACGTCGGAGTCACAGTCACAGTTACTCACTCGAATTCAAACCCAATTTGAAACCAAAGAACGCATAAAGGTTGAGCCAATGAGACCCTTGATTTGCAATGCTAATTTTCTTTATTTCAAATAATCTTGATAAATCTTCCTACCACTCAAAAAAAGGTACTCTTTTCTTTACTTCAAAAAATTTTAATTTCTTAAAATCTTTCTCTTCTCACTTTACAAATCACTTACATGATTATATTGTTACCTTAGTAGTAGAAGCTTAAAGTAGCAGCCTGATGTACTCCAACGTCGCCGTCACAACCATCGATTTTTGAATATTGGATATGGGACCGATTTCATGAATACGCGTTTATATGCTCTTGACATTTTTTTGCCTTTTTTTTGTCACTGTTTATCTTGTTCGTATCTTAATCGCGATACTAACATTTTTTTTAGGTTCTTTATGTTGGGTGCCAAGTAGTGCATTTATGAATGCAACTTTGGTTTGCCTTTACAAAACACTTGCAATATTTAGTGGTTAACTTGTATAAACAAATCAGATAAGTTTATGCAAATCGCAGTGTTTATTCAGTTTGGTAGATTAAATATACAGAAGGGTTGCCATATGCCATCCATATACATACATAATACAAGGTGTGTTCCAAAGCAGGGATCGTAAAATGCGGGCAAAACCCGTTCGGGCCCGCGAGAAATTCTGCTGCGGGTCGCTGCCGACAGCAGCAGAGGATCGGCCGGGTCGTCTGGCAGAGGTCACGGGTCGTGTGGGTACGCCGTGCTTCGCCGCGGGTCGCTGCCGACAGCAGCAGTGTCGTACGAGCCGGTCTGCAGTAGCAGAGCGCTCGTTCGTGCTGAGTGAGGCTATAAGGGATGAAATGCATCGCGCACATTTTGCCTTGAAATATATACACACAAGCATACCATCATACAAATTTAACACATATGTACGCCCCCTGGTGGCGCTATCTATATGTCGACTGGCGCATTTTATGACATTTCATCGATTGGAAGTGAAGTTATTGCGTTTTAAGTGTCGAACGCAAAAGGGGGGAAAACGGGCTCCAACGTTTTTATGAAAAATCTACAATTTTCATCCAATTAACTTCAAACTTAGTTAGTATACTCTCAAAAAGAATACAAGAAAAACTGTATACTTGGTTTTTCACCATTTTTCTTGGGGCATGAAAAAGGGGGGTTTTCCGTGGAAAAATTGAAACACAATCAACACCCCACAGCCCAAACGATAAAAGTAAGGAAACTGAAATTTAGGCTCAAGTATCCTGTCATAATGTAGGTGCTCACTAAGAAGGGTTTTTGGAAAATTCGAGCTCCAAAGGGGGGAAGTCGAGGTCCAAAGTTGGTTTGAAAATTCTGCATTTCTGAATCGATCAACTTTAAATTTGGTTTTTATAATATATAAAAGAATACAAACAAAACTGCATACTTGGTTTTTCGAAATTTGTGTTAGAGCTTGAATTATTGGGGTTTTAATATTTATTCACTATTTCCAATGAAAAGTTTGTGTTATCAATTTAGTCCGATCGATTTAAATTTGGGTAATATAATCTACTTAACTAAATCTACAACTTTGCATTCAAGGATTTTCAAAATATGCATTTTACAAAAGCAGGCAGAACAAACAATACAAAATATCCAACAGTTGGGGACAACTAAGTATACATACACACACACACAAGCAGCTGTTCGTGTAGTTGCGTGCAAACGATTGAAATAGCCAAAGCAAAATGTGAGACACTAATGTGTGAATGTCCATACATATGTGCACATTTATGTATGTACATATGTATCTACATATGTATGTATGTACATTCGTCTTGCACTGACAGAGCAAGAAATGTTAATTAATTGAAAATTATATAACATTTTTAAAAGTAATTTTTTCTTTGTTTAGTGCATTTGGCATTAGGGTTTTCATTAATAACTTTATGCAGCAACAACAAATATCAAATAGTTGGGGACATCACATACACACACTCACACACACAACAAGCAACAGTTTG